CACAAGGGGGGTTTTTCGCCCCCCCCCCCCCCCTATAATAACAATGAAGTTGATAACAAAAAAAGGTGAAAAAAAGAAAGTGAAAGAAAATAACAAAATTCCCCCCCTACAAATTTACAGTCCCCGCCGCCCCCGAGGAACTCGCGCATACGAACGGAACCACAGGTCGGGTGCACCTACGTATAAAACCATAATAGACCAAGGTCCATCCAGTTCAACCTAGGTTTGTGTGTGTGTGTTTGTATTTATGTATTTTTAACTTCTCATATCCTTTGTATATTTAGTGACTGAAGAACTCGTCTAGAAGTTTCTTCAACTTCTCTACGCTATTAGTGGATACCACTGCTTGTGGAAGGGAATTCCACATTTGTACTACTCGCACAGTAAATAAACCCTTGCACGTTCTAAGATTGAACCCTCTCTCTTCTAACCTCTTGTTCACGGGTTCTCAGTACGGTTCTTGGTGAAAACAACTTGTTTTTCGAATATTGTTGTCCCTATTGATGATTTGATAAAGACTGCAATAAGGTCCCCTCTTAATCGCCTTCTTTCTAAGGCTGGGCACACACCTTACAACCATCGCAAGACTTTTGTCTTGCGATAATTGTAAGGTACTTAAAAAAACATACCATCTGCCTATCTTGCATAGGCAGATTGTACTTGCGATGATCGCAAGCCACGCCCCCTGAGGGGCGGGCTTCCGATGACCGCAATGCCGAACGGGCAGTGTGCGCTTGCGCACACTGGCCCGTACGGCTTTTATCGTACGAACATGCCACAAACCCGCCGAACATCGTACGATGCTCGGCGGGTTTTCGAACATGTCCGTAAGTTAAAAGTCGTGCGACCTTACAGTATTAGAGGTTGCATGGCTTCCACACACCCGCGATTATCGTACGATTATCGCAAGGTGTGTGGGAAACTTTAGGAGAATAGGTTTAATTGTTGGGGTCGGTCTTCATAGCACAGGCTTTCAATCCCTTTAAATTTGTGGCCCTTCTTTAAACGCTCTCAAGCTCGAGGATATCCTTCATGAGAGTTGGCTGATGAGGCCGAACCAGTATTTTATAATCGAAAACGATGATTGCGCTACACATATCGGTTATTGATCTGTGCGCCAGTTAAAACTTTGATTGAAAATTACAACTATCGTCTAAAATAAAGCTTTGTTATCTGTAAAAAATAAGTCAAGGCCACTGGACTTCCTGTATTCTTCTTGAAGACGTTTTACTGGTCATCCAACCAGCTTTCTCAATTCAGAATGACTTGTACAAAAATTATCTGGGAATACGTCATTCTGAATTGAGAAAGCTGGCTGGATGACCAGTGAAACGTCTTCAAGAAAAATACAGCAAGTTCAGTTGCCTTGACTTATTTTTTACAGATATACCATGACCTGGATGAATGAGAACCTTCACATAAAGCTTTGTTTAAACAAAAAAAACCTAACTCCTAGTTTCAAAGCAATTTGTGAAGACCTGTACTAAGCTAGTTAAAATCTTTCATGGGTAAGCATACACATTTATTAAAGAAATTAATATTCACATTTGTTTATAATCTCTGCTGTGACTGGTTCTGTTTTAAAAACCCGTAGCTTAAATGTAGACAACAGAGAACAAAAAGGGCTACACATCAAATGCCTTTTGTAAAGGTATGTGCTTGTGAATGTCATTTACTTAATTTCTTCTCCGTAAAGTTATCTATATCTTAAATGAACTTGTTTTGGGTGGACAAATGCGAATAATGACTTTTTCTAACCAGCAATTCTAATAATTTTTATTTACAGGCAAAATCCAGAGACTACATTTGAAGTTTATGTAGAAGTGAGCCGTCCTGAATCAAGTGCACCAAATGAAGGTATTTGGATTTTCCTGATGTTACCCTTTTATCATTTGTGTAGTTATTTCCTAATTTACTGACCGTAACCTTACGAATGTTTGGTTAAAATGTTGTTGTAAAGCAAAGTGGTTTTAAAGCTCTAGAGTGTAGTAAGATGTCCTGCTCTGGGGAGAGCATTTCTTGAAGCTTGAAGATTCCATTAGTGAATAAATCCCAGCAGAATATAAATAATATAACCCCTGCACTGCCATTCTCCTTTTGACTATTGCATAGCTTGAACACCCATTTTCAGAGCTTGCAAAGCTATACAGAAGACTGTTACTGCAGACTAACTTCTTCCAGGAGTGGCTGCGGTTTTGTATAGACAGGTAAGATCACACACACAGGGTGGTGGAGCTTCTTGTGTTTTAGATCTTGAAGTGTGGGGTGCTCTTGAGGGACACAATTAATGATGTTATGCAGACTGAATGTGGCCCTCTGGGTGTGATAGAGCTCCATGGGGAGATAAGCTTATGCAGTCTCCCTGCTCTGCCGAGCAGCTGTGTTAGACAAAGTGCCCTCCAGTACTGTAGCTTCACCTTACGTGCACACTTTTATACCGAAGAACGTCTGTATACTGAAGAACGTCTCGGCGGCTGTCGCACCTTCATGCCTTTGAACAATACTGTTACTTTTAATCATGCATAGTCATCCTTTTCTAAAATACTGCTTTTCCTGAATGGTTGTACCACACAGATGTAGACCTGCAAGTCTTACAAATGTTTTGGCAGATTTATTCTTTTGGAGAAACTCGTTTTCCTATATTCTTGTTTTTTAGCAGACGCTCATGTTTCCTATTATCCGGTGCAGGGTTCATCCCTTTGAATGATATCACTCTTCTCACTCACCTGCCACAGTGAATCTGTTCCGCTCACTTTTCTTACAGAACGATAGTCTTGTGAATGATTGATTCTGTTCTACTCACTCACACACCTGTTCTCATAACTGTTGCTTTAGAAAGATGTGATTAAACACATATATATTTTCTGAATGGTTGGTTTCTCAGCCTTATACATGAAGCATGTTGCATGGCTGCAATAAAGGAGTATCTGTTGCCTTAAAAAATAAAAACTTTTTTTTTTAGCCTAACTCCAAGCTAATATTCTTCATGTTACTTGCTCTGCCCTTTTGGGGCACCCTTTCACCTTTTATTTAAATAAAACAAACTGTGTACTGTCTGGTCATGTGACATCATAGATTACTTCCTTCTGTCAGAGGTGGGCGGTCCTAAATGCTGCAGGAAAAGGGGTTCCATGTAATGATGTCAGCGCTGCTCTCTGCAGTATTCTCCTGTAAGCTGGTTGCAGCTCAGTGATGCACCCTCAGCGGGTATGTGTCCTTAAGACAGTCTGAGTGGGGGAGGGGCCAACTACTGGTGTGTTTTCCCAGGCATAGTGCTAATGCGCTAATCCCGCATAGCACTGTTTATTTTTTTTTGTTAGAACTCACTTTCCCCGTTTACAGACATAAGCATGTTTTCATTCACATCATATGACAGGGTTGGTTTTAAATTTGTCTAAATGTATTTTCTTATTTTTAACCTTTTATTACTTTTTTTTCATTTTTGAATTTTATTGATCACCTGTGTGAAGGGCACTTCAGCCGGCTTCTCACAGTTCTGAAGCACTGAGAGCACAGTGCTACTTCACTTAGCACAGAACAGATTGGGTAGTGGTCTGCTCACACTCTATCCTGACAGCCTCTGCTGTGGTCCTGTGCCACCCATAGGAGTAGGGGAACCCAAAAACCACAGGGGGGGGGGATTGCGGCACAATCAACAGGCTAGTACCATTTATCTGGGTGGCTGTACAGCACCCAGACCACTTGTAGTTGAACGAGCCAGCCTTGCCCGACATCATTGGTTGCTAGGACACCAGTGGTCCTAGCAGCGAATGACTGAAGCAGAGGGGCGGCCTGAGCTAGGTTATGGCTGGCAGTGGATGCACTTGCCTCGGAGGCTGGTGTATCCACGGTCAGCCAGCTATAACCCAGTGCAAGTTGGCGATTGCGGTCTGGACATTGGATTGGATCTGGACTGTGGTTCGCCATTTAGGGTCCCCTGGTTCATTTGGAAAAATATGTTTATGCAACTTTTAACTTCTGTAGTAGGATGTAATGGAGATATTTTGCATAGTATCTTAAGGGTATCTGTGCAGCTAATTTGCTTATAATCTTCTCTTGCAGTGCAAAGAAACTAGGCAATATATTTAAATGATTACACGTTTATTTTCACCTAATGTTGTTTGAGTACCCAGGCTAACCTTCCTCTGTTCACTGGTAACTAGAAGTTCTGGGAATCGCCTAATTTTGTGCCTGCAGTTCTAATTCCCAGTTTCACTCTTCTTATCACACCATCCATTGACACTGCAAATATGACTGTTCAAATTATGCATGTTTTTGAAGTTATTGCTGCAGATACTTGGATTGTTCACATTGCTAGTAAAATTAACCAATGCAGGAACCCATGTTACTCCATTGCTTTAAAAATTATACCAGCCATGAAGGGATTATTTAAAAGCACCAGGTCATTGATGGTGTGTTGAGGATTAATAAGGAAAATGCAGCTTATGTGTCAAGACAAAGCTTGTAAAAGGTCCTTTCATAAACTCCACCAAACGTTTTTCCCCTTCCCTCCAAAACATCCTGCTTTGTTAAAAAGAGAGATGAATCTCTTCCAGTGAAATCTATTAACTCCAGAGCAGTTCATCATTGTTTAAGGACAGAGAACTCTATTTGCATGTGAAAGACCTGTGCTTCCCATAATCTTGTTCCTACTAGAGTCTGAGAGAAATTGAAGTACTTCCGTCTTTACTCTAGGAGTTAGTTTGTGTGCAAGGATTATTAAAGCCTGCGACCATCATATAGATTGGTTGTAGCTGAGCTTTATTGCTTAGCTTAATTCACCCTTCTAACATTTACTGGGTGGGTCACTTCCCATAAGCTTTTGCATCATGGAGACTGGAGTCAAAGCCGCACGTTGGCAAACAACTAAATGCAAAGTTATCGCAGTACATGTACAACAGAACAGACATAAAGCCTGGTGGGGGCTTTTAAGGTATGCAGGTATTAAAGGTATTAAGTCAAAATGAGCTTTATTAACAGCAATTAAAATATACTAGATATAAACATCACAAAGTCAGCCACGAAATACATATGACTCGTATAAGCTGTAATATTTGAATACTGATTTCACAATAACTTAAGTGTCGTTTGAGTGCAACATTTTTGTAATGAGGTAGCAACAAAATGGTAGTTGGCACATTGATGTCTCCTCACCGTGTTTCGCCATTCATGGCTTGTCCAGTAGGAAGTAGCAACAAGGTGTAATATCAAAGTAAATCACAGGAGTTCATAAATTCCATGTTGGACAAAATACATACAAAATGAAGACACTTAATAATAACACCAAAGTTAAAGCAGTGGTTCACCTTTATTAACAGAAGAAAAGCTGGCTGCACACTGAGTTCCGCAGAAATAGTTTATTGAAGCTTGTACTATGGTGTCCCACCCAGTGATGTGGTACAAGCTTCAATAAACTATTCCAGCAGAACCCAGTGTGCAGCCAGCTTTTTTTTCTGCTTGTATGGGCTCAAATTGCAGCAAGGACTTGCTCCCAGCGGCGGTAAGCACCCAGCGCATTCCTTCCCTGAGCCGTGGAGGAGTAGTGATCCTTTTGCAAGTCCACCTTTATTATTAGAGATGCATCGATACCAGTACCGTTATCTGTTCCGCTACTGGGCATTTTCACGCGTATAGGTACTTGGGAAATTCCTTAATACTAAACGCTGATACTGGCTCTTCATAATTTTAAACGGAAGCGTTTGTCTGAGGTACCATGCTTGCTGGGGACCTTGGCAGCCTTTCTGTGAACCGCAGCATATCGGTACTTATACTCTGTCTGGACAAAATGGTATCAGTGTATCCCTATTTATTATTAAACATTATGTACTTCCCCCTCCTGTATTTAAAAAAAAAACAAAAACTCCTCCTCCCCACAGTCCAGCGATTTCCTTCAAATGCCTACTCTTGAACTAGCTGCTGGTTTGCTCTTCCAGGTTGAATGATTGCCAGAATAATTCAACCCACTTCCTGTATAAGCACAGGCTGTAAATGACGCACCCCCTGAGGTTGTCATCGCACAGCTTAAGCTCACTTACTTCTGGACTGAGCAGAACTCACACGTCAATACATGAGCCTTGTTTTACATCACCAGACTGGCCAGAAGAGTACAGGGGGACAGTAGGACAGTAGGACAAGGGGGTTTGGAAGTTAAGTTGCTCATGTGACATTGTCCAGGCAGTCCTGTACCTTTTAGCTATGTAGCTGCACATCTGAATGGGGATCATCTAAGGCAGCCTACTCACTTTTTACTACAGAGGTACAATATTTAGGTCTCAGAAAACCTCTGTTAAATTGTGTAATACCTTACGGTGCTTAGTAAGTTGTAAATATAATAAAAGAATAGGGAATGTGGCTACTTGGCATATTTGACACTCAGAGCAGATACATATTAACATACCACTTCTCTATATGGGGAAATGATTTTCATTATTAAACATGAAATTTAAAGAATAATAATGACCAGAAAAGAAACGCAGGTGGTAAAAATTGTAGTGCGTTCTTTACATTGGTGTTCATTAGGGAAATGTCCACTCGCATTCTTTACTTTGGTGCTCAGTGGGAGAAGGCCCCTCTCAAACAATGGTTAGTGGTAGAAAGGCTTCTTTACAAATAGCTGAAAAAATTATTGTAGTGGTTACTTACCTGAGAGATGAGTAGAAAGACTCTACTGGTCCTCTGCTGCTGGTTCTGCATAGTGACATTGCTGAAACTATGTAGGCACCATCAGACAGGAGATTAGAGACTGCTTATAACTCAAGAAACCTCTAGCGAACTCTGGAGGAACCCAAGGGCTTTACAGATCCCTGCTTGAGAAAGAAAGATCTTAGGCATATCCTGCACTCTTCTGTCTTTGACTG